CATATTTATAAATACATAGTATAATTAATATTACTGTTAATTCAACTTGTATGTTCACTTAATTCCATTGTCACAGACACAAACAAGAGACGAATAGATTCATTCTGTACGTCTAATTATGTAGTCATAACCTTCCAACAAGACATACATATGTATGTTTGCCCAAATATACGACCTACATTCCTTGTCGAGGTGCCAATACGTACATACATACATGTGTATGTATGTATGTACATATAAACCTTGACACGAGCTCACACAACAACGCTTATTGGTTTTGTGTCAATGGGACGCTTATCTGGCAGGCATTCCATAGGTTTGCCGACGGTTTCAGCAAGTCAGACTTGTATGCTACTTAATGCCACCAGTGGCATATGGAACCACCCCAAATAAGTGGCGAGCAGCTAAGACTACTAAAGTGAAGGCAATAAGATGCGTTGTGTTGTGTTTCTGCTGGTTTTGCGGGGGTAATGGCTGGATAATCGGTAATGATGGTGGCGCTCAGCCCCACGACGACTGACACTGTCAACGACCGCATAATTAACGACTACGCTCACACTACGCTACATACATACCTCGCGTTCTACACTTGTGAAATGTCTCATTTCGAGTAGCAACGTCTGTGGGTTAAAAGGCTTTTCCAGCTGCAATAGGATAATTGCATCCACACATATGTACATACACGATGTAATACGCACAAGCAGCATTAATAACTGGACCAAAAATGTAAGCATAGATGCGTACATCCTTACGCAAGTATGTATATATGTATGTATGTACATATGTAACTAGACTATGTGTCTTGAACTTGATTATGTGTTAGCGACACTAATGTGTGTATACAAATACATAAGTTCATTACCACATTAATGAGTAATGAGGCTAATGAGTAGGCTTGGGGAGCTTTTGAACTGAAGAGCGAAAGAGCCATTGAACTAGTTCATTAGTTCGTTCATTAAAGTGAACTAAACTTTTCTATGCCATTAAAAATAGAAATGTAATTTTAACAAATATGACACCTCCTTTTTCGTTGTAACTTGCTGTATCCATTAGCATACACTGTATATGCCATACAGCCATCGCAGGAGATCTGTCAGCAGGGCTGCCAACTATCCTTAGCTTTGAGGTGCCATCCCTTTTAATGCTTCCCATTTACATAGCTATAAAATAAGAACCACATTTCTAAAACAAAAGTGCAATTCCAAAATAAGATAAACTAGTTGAATAACATTTAGAAATTACAAAATTTAATTTGAGAAAAGGAAGTACATACATACCCGCAAAGGATTTCACGAAAATGTATTAAAATATTACTATTTTTCAAAAGTGATTTGATGTAAAATAGTGCCAAAGATGGCACGGTTTAAGCCAAGTTGGCAGCCCTGTCTGTCAGTTTCATCGCAAGCGAAATGCTGATCGCTGAGAAATTTTTGTACTGCTTCCGAATACATTCACATGAAGAAAATTACTGTATTCGCCAAAATAGCTTACTCCAAGTTGTTTTTAGCATATACATATTTTATAGAAAACACACAACATTATAAAAATTCAAATTTAAAAAAGCTGTGAAACTAACTATTTGACACTTCATCGCCTGTGTTAGCTCGCAAGCGATATCTCCTGCTGTCGTATCTCCTGCGATTGCGATAAGCGGTCTTCACAAGCAATTCAACGCCGGAGATATGTAGCAGCAGATAAACAATCGCTAATGGAGACAGCAAGTAAGTGCATAAAGAAACAAATTATCGGAATTCGACATTTTATTTCAATGAATTTCCAATGGGCGCGTCCCACCGTCAATGAACTGATTGGGCCTTATCAGTGAAATGACGTTCAGCAATACCACCAGCTCCGCCAGAATTGGGAAAGACCTCTCCGAGCCGTTCGCCACCAAACGGGGTTTCAGACAGGGCGACTCCCTTTCATGTGGCTCCGCTGGCTTGGCCTTGTCGTTTGAATGGACCCCGACGCTCCAACTCTAAAAGTATTCAACTCGGAACACGCTGGTGGAAGCAGAGGAGGAGGGAGGCCCCCACTGCGATGGAAAGATCAGGTGGAGAAGGACTTGGCTTCACTTGGCGTTTCCAATTGGCGTCCGTTGGCACAGAAGAGAAACGACTGGCATGCTTTGCTGAACTCGGCTAAAATCGCAGAGGCGTTTACAGTGCCAAATAGAAGAAGAAGAAGAAGATCGGTAAAACGACTGAGATACAAATAAATCGTATTTATTCTCTGCAAAAATTGGGCGTCTCCAAAGAGAGTATTCCGAGATTACTCTCAATCTGGTACAATTGGGCATTAATTGGTCGCAACGAGTCTCATACGGGTATTGTTGGAGATCAATTAGTCTCGACTCATCCCTTACGGGTCCCCGTAACAAATCGCAGCTGGTGAAAATTTTGAGTTTTTTTTTCGGGTATGAAGGGGAACAATTAGTCTCTTCATAGAACATGCTCGAACAAAAGCGAACAGTTCATTCCACATAAAGAGATCAAAAGTGATATTAGTCGCAAGTTCCTTTGCGTTTGCTTCCGGAGTCACCCCGGATTAGTCTCAGTTTTTGCAGGGTTATTACTTTTACATCAATTGGCATGGCATAATAGGCTGTGTTGATTGCATTTGATAAGATGTGTGCATTACTACCTATCCTTGTGTTTTCATTTGGAGTAAATCTGGAAATTTTACATACATATTCACCCTTTTTCGATTGTGTTTGCGACTAATCTCTAAAGATAAGCTGACTTCCAAAACGTCAATTGCTTTGCATACGTACAAAGTATAATGTCCCATAACGCCGAACTACAAAATGTTGACGATGTATACTTTTCCAAAACGCATCCGAAAATTTATCGAAACGCATCGGTAGCGCAATCAGCGCATCAGAAACAAAGTTGATGCCTCGTTTGTTATTGGTTACCATTGGTGGAACCTTTTGGAAGTCAGCCATAGAATTCCAATATTAGTCTCAATCGAGTACAATTGGGCATTAGTTAGTCGCAACTAGTTTCATACGGGGATTATTTGAGATCAATTAGTCTCGACTCATCACTAACAGGTACACTTAAAGATTTAATGATATGTACGCACTTAGTCAATGAAATTTCACGTGCGGTATTGGCACAAAGAGATAGTATTCGCTTAACAAACCTGAGAACCCTGGTTTGGAAATTAACCAAATTTTCAGAATCAACGAGCAATTCTACATACTAATTCTACATAGAAATCGGCTAGTGGCATCCATAAAACATTTTTGCTGTAAACCAGTGAAATATGCTCTTAAAGATTTTAGACGAGGTTTCTTGTATCATATAAGTTCATGTGTATGTACATGTGCATACATAAATATGTATTCATAGTATATTAATGCGGTCTAAAATAACTAAGACCACTCTAAAACTAATTTCAATGCACCACTGTAAATGCAATTTCAAGTGGTCAAGTGGCTTTGCAAGTCATTCTAGGGTTAACAGTTTTCAACCTCCGTGATTATGATCTACTGTTGTTGTACATATATATTTATGTATGTATGTATATGTAGACATTTATGTATGGGACTACGCTATTTTTCTTCGAAGCAAAAGCAAAAATTTTGTCTGACTGTTTGCGCCTACATAAACACATTGAAGAGATTGTTTTGCTCTCAAGAGAAGTACAATATGCTCACTGCAGTAGCGACAAGGTGATGTCGGACGTTAGTATGGGTTGGTCAGTGAAAATGGGTTAAGAATGAAGAAACCTGAAAAAGATTTGTTTGTATATTGATTTGTAAATAATGCGAATACCGTATTCAATATTTTTTTAGATAGATATTACAATTTAAAGGCTCTGGTGGCTCTGATTCAGCAAGTAAATAGCTGCATACAAAAACAGACACACAAAAGTAGGTTAGATTAGGCTAGGTTACGATGGCTGCCCTCATCTGGTCACACCGGCCTAAGGGGGGTCCATTGCGATGCAAGAATAGAACCAGTTAGTTAGCCTAATTAACGATGCAGTTAACAGATTTTCATTGTGCTTGTATCGGACGGATTTTCTGAAAAGTACTGATGGGGACACCGCTGACTACGTCCAGCCAAACCCGGGAAGTGGCAAAGAAAGTGTTTGATGCTCTCGAGTTCCTCATCCTGACGAAATATTTTTCATTTATTTACTATTTCAATTATTTAGGGATGTGGATAAAAATTTAGTAAACCGTGATATTGACTTTTGTTGGTACATATGTGCATATGAACATATGTAAAGTTGATTAATGTACATTGGCGCTTTTAATTCAGGAAGTAAGTTTGCAACAATACTACATAGTAAATACATAATTATAATAACAAGTAACGCTTTATAGAGTGTAATATTAAAAAAGCATCCAAATATTTGCTCATGCATAGATACATGTCGTCGTTTAAAGTACAAAACCGCCTATCAACAAAATGCAAAACCGCGTATGTGAATTATGTAAATTTTCATCTAGAGAGTAAAAACCCTCATATTTCAAAATGGTTCTCTTTTTTATAAAGCAATCGGATACGTGGCCAGTATATTTCAGGACTAATGGATATGGATTGAGCCAAGAGCTTGTGTGAACAAATCCACTTTTTGGCAGCTAATGCCAGTTACGCGGTTTTGTACTTTAAACGACGATATGTGTTGTATGTACATTAGGGTGGGTAAAAAAAAATTAAGTTTTTTTTTTTGGATCCGACACACGAACACTAGATCCTAAGTACCTCTAGAAAGTACTTACCAAATCTGAGCTCATAATATTAACGGGAAGATTATGCTCATCATAGTTTTCCATTTTGAATTTAGTCTCATATAAAAATGGTCATATCTTATCACCAATAGATAGTTCTTCTTCCGGCCCACCCTAATGTACATGTGTATGAATGTGTGTATATGAGAATATAGCTTACCACTGTGTGGTGCTTAATGAGCGACGGAGAAGCTCTTTGTGAGTAACACAAACCAGTGAGTGGCTTAACTTCTTGGCCAAATGCAATCGACTCTTTTGTTTAGTTGCTAAATAAAAATACGTGGCGACGGTTGTGCTTACAAAACTTAAGGTACGGCTCGCTACGTTGGTGGGAGACACGCATTGGCAGTGAAAATCTTACAACATTCCAGCGGACTGGTTGCGCATGCGCGACTGCATAACAAATGAGTGAGCACAAAGCATTGTGTTAAATAATATTTATTCACACGCAAAGTAATACCAATTATAAAATACATACATATGTAAATAAGGTAAAACCTCAGTGGTCCAGAAGAAAAAGTAAGAGAATTAAAAAGTGTGCAAAATAATTTAAGGTGCAAAGTTGTCTGGTGTGATCAACTGATGAACCGCATTGACTTAACAGCTCAAGGTGGCGCAGTATACGAGAGAAAGTTGAACATATGTACATACTTATGTACATTTGTAAGTGATAATTTGTTGCCAACTAAAGATAGGAGTTAAGGCGCAGGTGCAAAGATATTCTGAGCAACAATTAAAGCAAACGCGACGACAAAAAAATAATAAACTCAAAGCACTTAACAAAACAATCGGTGCGAATAAAATGAAAATTTGCCATATACATACTTAGTTTACCTTTCACATATATGCATCTGTAGAAATATACATATGTACATACATACGTATTCATTCAAAGTAAAATCGGTGGGAGTGTAAATAAAAAAAAAATAAATAAATAAAGCAATACTTTCACAAATCACAACATACAGTTCGTTGCTGAGAGGTAAGACCGTAGTTATTAGCCGTTTCGCCATGTCCAATTATGCCAACGTCGTACAACGTCGCAAAACAGCTACAGCAACGACCAGAACAGCAACAAAATCTAAATCAAAACATGCTTTCGTCGGCGCAGATTCAGCACCTGCTGGTTCTAGCTCTAGCACAGCAATAACAACAACAAGAACTACCACAAGTGTTAATTCTACAACGACCGGGCCAAACAACATGCCAGCGGCAGCGCCTACTTCGCCAAACGAAAGACTTCAACGCTACTCAATAAGCGACATACTTGCCGGAATGATCCGAAGAGCAGCAAAAAGGCAACCCTCCGTTAGCAGCAACAGCAGTAGCAAACACACAACTACGAAGTCAACAAACAGTGGCTCTTCTGCCGCCTTGATGTTGCGCGCTGCCACCACTTCGACGCTTTGTAATGGCAGCATAGCTTGTTGCCGCGATGTTAACTGTCGCCTAAATACGCTGAACGTGCCTTTCAATGTACTTGCGCAACAACAGCCACAGAGCCAACAGCATGATGAAAAGATGCAGCGCGCGTCAGACGCTTCAAATGCATCGACATCGTTACGTTGCCGTCGCAGCCGTAGTTCTACTGTTACCCGTTTGAAACCGAGCCCATCGGATGTAGCAAAGGATCAGTCGTCCACGCAAGCAGTCAATGCGACTGGTGTACGTGACAGTTCGCCCGATTCCGGTGTTGGCAGCGATGCTGTAACGACAAAGTTTAACCAAGCCACGGCCGAGCCGACGATACGAGATTCAATTTTGTCCCCGCCAGAACAACAGTTCATCGTACATCTGCAAATTGACTTGTGTACGTGGCTGTTGTTCGCTGTGTCCCTTTGTACGCGCTTCTATAAGCTATCAACCCCGCGACATGTTGTGTGAGTTTGATTACATACCTTCATATTCCACCGCAATAACTCATCAATTTCTTTTCTTCAGCTTCGATGAGATCCATTACGGCAAGTACATCTCCTATTACATGCGAAATATATTCTTCTTTGACCAGCATCCGCCACTGGGCAAGCNCCACCGCAATAACTCATCAATTTCTTTTCTTCAGCTTCGATGAGATCCATTACGGCAAGTACATCTCCTTTTACATGCGAAATATATTCTTCTTTGACCAGCATCCGCCACTGGGCAAGCAGCTTATAGCCGCGGTTGCGCATGTCACCAGCGGGTACGATGGTAATTTCACCTTCCCGCACATTGGAGCAGAATACAGCGAAAATGTGCCAATATTTTGGCTACGCTTCGTCCCGGCATTTTGTGGGGGTGCTCTAGCGCCTATGGTGTATAAGCTGCTCCTAACTGCTGGTCTTTCGGGATGGTCTGCTTTGTTGGGAGGGTTACTTGTTATTTTGGACAATGCCTTGCTAACGCAATCGAGGTTCATATTAATGGAGTCGATGCTTTTGTTCTTCGCCACCTCGGGTCTCTACTACATGCTACGCTTTCAAGGTAGTCGTTTCGGAAGTCCGCTTTGGTTACTCTTTGGGTTAGCGGCAGCCTCGTGTTTCTCATTCGCAGCGTGCATAAAGTATGCAGGGTTCCTGACGTATTTCCTAACCGCATATCTTTCTTGCCGATTCCTGTGGGACAAACTTTACGACGCAACGCTTTCAAGCAAGTCAATGACCACAGTTTGCTTTCGCCTTCATCACTTATGCTATATTTTTTCGCAGATCTTCATATCACACTGCAAGCACTCAGCCGTATGTTTTTGTTCACCGCTGTGCCACTGGCCATATATTTGGGAATTTTCTACATCCATTTGCAGACGTTGTATCGTGCGGGTCCCCACGATAGTGCTATGACTAGCGCCTTTCAAGCTTCTCTCGATGGCGGGCTTGCCTCCATAACAAAAGGCCAGCCATTGAAAGTGGTACATGGGTCACAGATAACCCTGCGTCACACGCATGGACGCACATGTTGGCTGCACTCCCATGCCCATGTATATCCAGTACGTTATCCGGATAAGCGTGGTTCGTCACATCAACAGCAAGTTACTTGTTATTCTTTCAAAGACGTTAACAATTGGTGGATTGTTAAGCGCCCAGAGCGCGAAGATTTAGTAGTCGGCGACGAATTGGATGTTATACGGCATGGAGACGTTATTCAACTGGTGCATGGCATCACAAGTCGGGGCCTGAATTCACATGATGTGGCTGCGCCAATGACGCCACAATGTCAAGAGGTCTCGTGCTATATCGACTATGAAATTAAAATGCCTGGCGAGCTGTTGTGGCGTGTGGAGATTTTGAATCGCGACACGGTGTGTATTAAAGAATATGGAAATTTTAATTAATATCTTTTCACATATAGTGGGCCATAAAATAATAGGAGTGCGATATTTTAACCAGTTTTGGCTATTTGTCTTTTTTATTTAATGTTTATTATTTTTTATAAAAGTGCATCTGGTTATACAACAAACACCATTTAAATTCAGATTTCAAACAAAAATTATAAAAATTCTGCAAATTTTCATCAAAATTTCAAATTTTTTATTCAGAATCTTTAGAAAAAAATTTCAGTACTCAACGGGATTCTTTACCAACTTGAAACTAGCACTTCGTTATGCTAGAATTAAATGGGCTGCAAAACTACATAAAAAGTTTGAAATTTTGGTGAAAATTTGCACAGTTTTTATAATTTTTTGTATAAAGTTTGTTTGTTGTATAACCAGCTAGTATTTTATGAAAAAATAATAAACATAATAATATATATATAGATATGCATATCAAATACATAAAAGGGTTTTCAATTATCTTTTAATTTTTGAAAAGCGATGCAATAGTTTTCGACATATAAGCTTTTGAAAATATTGAAAATTCCACCTTTACCCCCCTTAGGCTCCGCCCCAAAAATGGTTTACACCTTCAAAATCTGTTAAAAGGGGCGGACCACGCTCATTTTTTATTTTTGTTTTTCCTAAACGGCCGCTACTGCACTTGTTCTTTCGCGACAGATTAAAAACAGGGGTTGTTGAGATACCCGAGCCTTTTACTACCGAATTGAAGAGAAAAAAATAAAATTGTAGTCATCAGTTTCATACACAAGCATTTATTTTATAAATTCGCATTATATATATATAAGTACATTTTACGGCTTCTGAAGTACATTTGACTATTCCGAAGTAAATTTTACGGTTTCTGAAGTAAAATTGACTTTCCTGAAGTACATTTTACGGTTTCTGAAGTACGCCTGTCTATTCTGAAGTACATTTGATGCTTTCTGAAGTACTCTTGGAAAAGGTGTAGTTTTGTTCTACAACCAAATCAAGGCGAATTTATACAAGGTGGTGTTGCTGGCGAATTTAGATTTTCGCCGCGGTACTTCTTAATGTCAAAATGATATGTTTGTTGTAATATGAATTCGCCTTGTTTACAAACAACACATCATTTTGACATTCGGAAGTACCGCGGCGAAAATCTAAATTCGCCATTAACACCACCTTGTATAAATTCGCCTTGAACCAAATCGTAAATTTGAAAAAGAAAAGAAAAATAGGAGAGGAAATATTTTTAATCAAGATAATCTACCAGTTAACGAATGCTCCCGCACAAAATATGGATATNCAAACAACACATCATTTTGACATTCGGAAGTACCGCGGCGAAAATCTAAATTCGCCATTAACACCACCTTGTATAAATTCGCCTTGAACCAAATCGTAAATTTGAAAAAGAAAAGAAAAATAGGAGAGGAAATATTTTTAATCAAGATAATCTACCAGTTAACGAATGCTCCCGCACAAAATATGGATATATGGCAATCAATTAAAAGAAAAGGACAAAACAAGATTAGTTAAAACTTTTCTTTTCAATTATTCTTTTGGAACATGTCAAAAATATTAAGGATATTTTCCTTTATTTAATTTTTTCAATTTCCTTGAGAGAAATCCTGCAGTCCTATTAAAAATACAAAGATGCAGATTTACTAGAAATGCGCTCAAATATGGGAATCGAATATCGAATTTTTCGCATTTCCAAAGTTTTCATGGACGATTTATTAAAGTCGGCACGGGTTATCGTTGTGCTACGACCATAGAACTTCATATATATATGCTATTTATGCTAAAAAGCACAAACACGGGGGGTATGCATATCAAAATTTGCAAACAAATTTTTTTCCATATATTCTTGGGACTGTATAATGTACATATAATATGTATAAAAGGTAATTCTTGGCATTGTGTCGCGGCTATCGAATTCAAAAATATTCAAATGTCGCGTTTATAAAGGTGGCAATGTTAAAATTTGTGTTTTGCGAAAATCGAGATTTCGTGTTTATCGAGAGTTGCGATAACTCAGCGACACTGGATTTAAAGTTTTTATGTATCAGACGATGTCACAACTTTTATATTTATAACATTGTTTTATTATAACAATTTTCGCAGGAAGGGCCTATTTGGCATGCCATCAAATCTGAGGTACAACTAATCCATCAAACAACTGGCGCAGCGTTGCGTTACAGTGGACGACAGCTTCCAGAGTGGGGTTTTAATCAACACGAAGTAGTGGCTGATCGGGCAGTGAACCACAAAGATGCCATATGGAATGTGGAGGAGCATCGCTATACAAAAAGTAAATAACGACCTAACAATAGGCGCATTCCTTATCTTTTTGAACTAAAATTTTAAAAGTGTCAAAATGCCAGAGCGTAAGAAATATACGCTCACTAAAAGAAGCGAAACAAATAAAATATTGTAGGACATTCTACTTTGCATTACCGGCAATGCCTAAAATAAGCGAAAAAAAAATTCGAAGGCATTATAACGCTAACGTTTTATTTAATACACGGCCTGTAGCTCAAAAGTAAATTATTAAATTATATTAAACGGCCAACAACAAACACAATCAAAATTATTAAAATTTAATAAATAAACATGAGCTACAAACAATAGCAGTGTACCCGTACCCAAAACTATTCAAAGTTTTGCGTTCTCGTACCGTAAATAACTTGCAAAGTAGGGGAATCATCATTATCATTTTGAATTTCCGTGCTATTATTTATTTTGACCACAGATGTATATATCGCTAGCTTAGAGTGAAAAGTTGCTAAGTCCATTTTTTATGAAAACTCATTTTTTTACAAAGACGGCAAGAGAAGTTATAAATGTATCGTTCCGAAAAGGATTAAAGTGCTTGTTTTATTATTTTTTTCGTTTATATTCTATATAAGTCAAGTTTTCTAAGTCCAAAAGCGGCAACGCAAATTCGACAATACCGAAATAGTACGAAATCTTTTAATAAAAATCGAATCCTTCTCATTCGTATGGAGTTTGCTTTGCTTTAAACATGGAAAATGTTGTATTCAAAGTTTTGCAAAATGTTTGAAGAAAATGGCTAAACGTTTTTTTCTCTCTTGTAAAATTTGTAAAAATGGACTTGACCACTTTTTACTCTAATACCACTTCATGCGCTTTTAAAATTTTTGTCGCATTGTTATTACGGAATTTTCATAAGTATGCGAAAATATGTTAATTTTAGTATTTCTTATTGAACCTTTGTACATGTGTAATTTTTTCTTTAACGCAGCACAAGATCAACGAGAACGCGAGCGTCAACTACTCAAAGCCGAGATGATTCCCACAAAAAAGACGAAGTTGAGCTTTTTAGCGAAATTCTTTGAATTGCAAACGAAAATGATTTGGAACTGAGCTTTTTAGCGAAATTCTTTGAATTGCAAACGAAAATGATTTGGAATACGAAACAGTTGGATGAACATATGTATAGCTCCTCACCGCTCGAGTGGCCATTGCTGGACAAAGGCATCGCATACTGGGTGGATACCAAGGCAAATAATCAGATACATTTGCTTGGTAATGTTGTCATCTGGTACACTGGAACCGCTGCTCTCCTATTCTATGTTATTTTAAACATATTTTATGTACTACGTCGGCGTCGCCTGCACTTTGATCTACCACCAAATGAATGGCAACGGTTCCGCGAAGTGGGCGACTTATTCTTAGTTGCTTATCTTATACACTACTTGCCCTACTTTACAGTGGATCGTGCTCTGTTTCTACATAACTACCTACCGGCCTTTCTTTTTAAACTTCTGCTACTATGCTATGTTTTGGAACATGTTGACTATCTGCTGCGCCTGCGTTGTTGTTATGTCGCTAGAGAAATCACGGACAATAGTCTTTCAAGTACAAAATGGATCTGGATGTTGCGTTGCTATCGGCTCGTTATCATATTTTGGTTCATCTCAGTTGTATGGGTGTTTATAAAGTTTCTGCCACTTACATACGGAATACAAAAAATTACCGGAGAAGAAGTGATCAGCTTGCGATGGAAGGATACATGGGATTTTATATTGCAACGCGAACATGTCCTGAAATGACATCACCAAAAATTAAGATGAATGGCAGGCATGTGCAGATACTTATGNACCTAGTATGTATATAGATTGAACAATACAAGAACATATGCATATCTATTTAATTTATTTTAAAATAAATTTTTAAACTGGAATACAAAAAGATAAAAGCATTTGTAATAGCATTTCTTTAGATTCTTTTTAACTTTCACAACTCACAATGTAAACAGCGTGCATAAGGTAGATCGTCTGTGAAATAAAGCTGTTGATCCTAAAAAAATATTATTCTTTAAATGAAAACATTGACATGAAATATGTAGGTATGTGTACGTACATAGATCTTCTTCAATTACACCGTGCGATAAAAAACCAAAAAAATTTAAAACACACGAAAATAATCAATATATTCACAAAACTAGGAGCCAAATATCAGTTATACTATTTTTTTTTTTTTTTGTTTCTTTCTGACGTCAGGATTTTTTTCTAAAGGACTTTGAAATTTCCAGGATATGATTGTATAAAAAAAATTATTTAAAAGATTTGGTGCATTGTAACAGTATGGGTATCAGTTAAAAGGAAAAATTCTGTAGAATTAAAAACAAAATTCAAGTTTTTTGCACCAGGACGA